GGGTGGACGGTCGCGTAACCCGCGCAACCCGCCGCCGGCCCCTGGGAGGGCCAAAGGTCCGAGGAAACCTCCACGGTCCGCGGCAGTACAGATATGCTGCCGCGGCGAAGCGAAATATGCCGATGTCATGAGACTAGCCAGAGATAACATAGATCTCGCGTCAATCGGCATCGACGCCCTCAAGCCGAGGAAGGCTAGGTCAGGAGCTTTGCTCCTAGAAATACCCGGAGGTACCGCGGGAGCAGACAAGGCTAATACCCTTGCACAGAGGCTGCTCGATCTGACGGCCAATGACAATAATATAGTCATATCAAGGCCGGAGAAGATGGCGGAGCTGAGGCTTCGAGATTTAGAGGCCTCTATCATGGATAGGGACATATACTTGAAACTGTCTGAACTGGGGGAATGTGACCCGGCTGATGTGCAGCTGGGTAAAAGGATAGAGGCCTCAAGAGGGCTGGGCACTGTGTGGGTCAGGTGCCCCCTTAAGGCGGCCCTGAAAATCACAAGGCTGCCGAGAATTTGTATCGGCTAGACGTCGATAAAGGTGGAGCTATTGCCCGATAGGGGGCTCCACTGTTACAGGTGCCTGGAGAAAGGGCACGTGCAGGCGGAGTGCCGCAGTAGTCTCGATAGGAGGGACTGTTGCTTCCGCTGTGGCGAGCCGGGACACAGGGCCAATGCCTGTACGGGTCAGCTCCGCTGCGTGGTATGTGCGGACAGGGGAAAACCCGCCAATCATCGACTGGGTGGTAGGGCGTGTAACCCGCCACCCACCGTCCGAGGAAGGGATGGCGGACGAGTTCGAGCGGTCACCGACCCAACCCGCAAGAGCGACGGGAAAGGTCTGTCGACGATCCTGCCGCGGAAACTCCCCGGTGAGGGGGAGATGTCGGACCGCTATCCAGTGGAGGACTTCCCCGTGACGGATACTACGGCAATGGAAGTCGAGGTTCTCGAGCCGGAAGTTACCGAAAAAGGCCGAGAAGGTGAGTTGCCGCCATTACCGCAACGCCCGAGAGCGGTGGGCAAAAAGCCCCACCGTGAATCGACGAGAGGTCGCCCCCCGCCCGCTATAATGGCGGGGGAAATGGGGGATCAGGGCCCGGAAACCCAAAGTGCAGGGCACACAACGGTACGGTCCGTTATGCGGGGAGAAGCCTCCGTAGAACCGGTGAGGGGCGGGGAGGCCTCCGCGCCTATGGAGGCAAATATGGAGAGGGCGGGGGCAACCGACTGCTCCATGTCTCCCACCGTCGATGCATACACGGATCCTCAAATGGATTCCGTGGTGAGTGCCGAGACAACGGGATCTAAGGATCCACGGCACGAGGAGGTCTCCCCTACCATCAAATGATTGGAAGGAGTAAGAGGGAAAACTCAATCCTACTGGCGAACGTAAACCACTCCGGCCGTGCGCAGGATCTACTCCTGCAAAGCATGGCCGAGAGTGGTTACGGCCTAGCCGCCATATCGGAGCCCTATCGGGCACCGACAGACAATCCGTCATGGGCGGTGAGCGAGGGAGGGTCGGTGGCCATCACTTGGAGATACGTACCGAATCCACTCCCGACTGCGCCGGTTGAGTCGGGAGAATGGTTCGTGGCGGTTCGCTAGGGATGTGCGGGAGTGATCGCCATATATGCTCCCCCAGCCTCGACAGGAACGAGTTCGAGTGCATCCTGTGGGAGGTTGAAAACTGCATCCGCCGCCGGTTTCACGATGTACCCGTCATCGTGATGGGAGACTTAAACTCACATAGTGCCATGTGGGGGTCTCGGGTGGACGATTTGAGGGGTAGGATCCTGGTGGATTGGATCTCCGACTTGGGGCTGTGCTGCCTCAGTACAGGAGGGGCCAGTACCTGCGTCCGCCAGCAGGGCGAGTCGGTGGTGGACGTGGCGTTCGCAAGCCCGGCCATTGCCGCGACATTGGTGAGTTACCGGGTGCTCGGGTTGGAGACCCTGTCCGACCACTTGTACGTCCACTTAGGATTTGGCGAGACGGGATACCAGGCGACTCACAGGAGTCACCCCCGTCCTGCTCGGTGGGCGTTGCGGTCGTTCGATCGCGACCGCATGGAGGCGGCAATTATAGCCGGCACATGGGTGCCCGCACCGCCGGCAGAGACATGGGACGTCGAGGAGGCTGCGGTCTGCAGTCGGAATATAGTCCGCGACGCCTGCGATGTGGCGATGGCTCGGGCGAGGCCGCGCTCCAGGAGAGCCATGTCCTGGTGGACACCGGAGCTGGCGGAGCTGAGGTCGAGCGCCATGGCAGCTAGAAGAGCCATAAAAAGAGCGCAAAGGCGCCGTTCGGCAGGCGCCGCAGAGCTGGACCTACGTGTTCAGCGTCTTAGGGCGGCGAAAGCGACGTTGAGAAGGGCGATCGCCAAGGCGAAGGAGCGATCCTGGGCGGATTTCACCGCCACTCTCGGTGAGGAGCCCTGGGGCAGGCCGTACCTGGTCGTTATGAACAGACTCAGGAGATGGTCTGCCCCAGTCACAGAGACGCTCGAGCCGGGTGCACTGGAAGGCGTCCTAAATGCCTTGTTCCCGGTTGAAACCAAACCGCGCTCCTGGGACGAGGAGGAGCTCCCAGAGACGGGATGGAAGGCATGACAGCCCGAATACGAGGTGACATACGAGGAGCTCATCAGTGCCAAGCGACGGATGATGTCGCGCAACGCCGCACCGGGACCCAATGGTATCCCGTACAGGGCATGGGGAGTGGCGGTAGACCTGATGGGCGGTCACATGAGAGCCCTCTTCACAGAGTGCCTGCGGAGGGGTGTATTCCCAGCAGCATGGAAGCGGGCGGCACTAGTGCTGCTGAGGAAGCCGGGGAAGCCGGCGGACGCGGCGACCGGATACCGCCCGATATGTATGATAGACGACGAGGCGAAGCTCTTTGAGCGGGTAATATCGGAGCGGGTCTGCGCGTGCCTGACTCGGCGCTGGGGACGCTGCCTACACGATCGGCAGTTCGGCTTCCGGCGCGGGCGCAGCACAGTCGACGCGATCCCGTGCGTGCGTCGATTTGTCGAGGAGGCATGGGGGGAGGGGGACGTCGTTGTCGGGGTGTCGTTGGACATCCGCAACGCGTTCAACTCCCTCCCATGAGACCGTATTGGGGCCGCCTTGCGCAGGCACGGGGTGCCGCTGTATCTGCGGCGGATTGTGCGGTCCTACCTCGATGGCAGGAGCATCGGTACCCCGATGCGACGGGTTCCATAGCCGAGAGAGTGGTGAGTCGCGGGGTCCCGCAGGGCTCAGTGCTGGGGCCACTATTGTGGAACCTCGGCTACGACGAGGTTCTGAGAGGGGCCGACCTTCCGGAAGACAGCATAGCGGTATGCTACGCGGACGATACTATAGTGTTGTCCGCGGGCTGCGACTGGGAGGAGGCCAAGATCAGGGCGACGGAGTCCGCACGGGCGGTGGTGGCCAAGATCGAGGAGCTGGGCCTCAGCGTGGCTGCCAACAAAACAGAGGCGATTGGCTTCTACCGTCGCGGGAGGCCCCCAGGGGACCACGTGCGTGTCGCTGGGGTGCGCGTTGAGATCGGCTCGCAGCTGAAGTACTTGGGGCTGATACTCGACAGCCGATTCTCCTTGGAGCCGCACTTCCGGCAGATTGTGCCGAAGGTCGCCAGAACGGCGTCGCACTTGGGCAGATTGCTGCCCAATCTGGGTGGGCCCAACGGCCGCGTGCGTCGGCTGTACGCGATGGTCGCCAACTCGGTGGCCCTGTATGGGGCGCCGGTGTGGGCGAAAGACATCGCCGGAAATCGACGGGTGCTGAGTCAGCTCCACTCGGCACAGAGGAGGACCGCGGGCCAAATCGTCCGGGCATATAAAACGGCGGCCTTCGCCGATGTGACAGCCCTGGCGGGATCTCCGCCGATAGAGATCACCGCCGACATGTACGCGGCCACCTATGACCAGGTAGCCCGGCTTAAGCGTACGCACGGGGTGGAGGGAGTAACACCCTCCATGGTGAACGGGGTGCGCGTTCGCACGCGAAGGCACCTCTATGATGCCTGGGAGGTGTGGCTCTCGCACCAGGGCCACGGGGGCTCTGGCATAGCCGGGGCGATCGCGCCGATCATGGTGGAAATATACAAGGTGAACCATTCCGGTGGATGCGCAGTCGTTCAAAAGTAGTGGGGAGCAATGAACCAATCAGCTTTTACCCAAGATGCAAAATTCAGTATGGCCGACACTGAGTGTTGCTGCGTCAGCTGTGTGCTCGTACGTTGTATGCAGTGTTATGGTACGTGTCATATTTTAGAAGTGTCATATTTTAGAATTAGAAAACTAAATCGAGAACTAATAAACAATAATAGCAGAAAAAAAACAAAAAAAAATAAAGCATATATGTAACATAATTACATGACTTAAGTATTATTTTGTTATAATATGTACTTTATGCATGTTATTCTTATTAATATTTTATATTTATATTTTGTATTCATTTTATATTTTATATTTAATATATTTAATTTTCCGTACATATCGTGTTTTAATTTCCAATTAATAATTTGTACACTTAAAATACGCGCATCTCCGCTTGGGTAACAACTGATTGGTCGAAATTTTAAGCCACGCCCTCAATGCCGCCATTATGCGCAATGGTTCACCTTGTATATTTCCACCATGGCGCCGATCATCGAAAGGTGGTCGGAGGCCAGGGTGGGTCCCTCGTTCCGGGTGACGCAGATGCTAACCGGTCACGGGTGTTTTGGCCGGTATCTGTGTCGCATCGGGTGGGAGAACTCACCCAAATGCTGGCACTGTGCGGCGCAGCACGACACTGCGCGGCACACGATGCGTTACTGCCCGGCGTGGGACGATATGCGCGCGGATTTGGTCAGAGCGATCAGGCCTGACCTCACGATGTCGGGACTGCTCAGAAGCTTGCTGAGCGAGGAGGGACGGAAGGCTTTCATGACGTTCAGTGAGGCCGTCATGAGCAAAAAGGAGGAGCATGAGCGAGCCCGCGAGGGCGCTCCGTCCCGCGTGGCTCCTCAGGGCTCATAGGGAGCCGTGGTCGCCGATGGCGAAGACAGCGCGGGCTCGATATTCGTGAGCCGCCGTCGCCTCGCCGCTCGTTCGTGCGACGCCCGCACGGCTAGTTGACGCGCGCCGAGCGTTTGGGCCCCCTATGTTAGGGGGATGCCGGGCGACCCGGCGGTCTTGGGCACCGTGGGGTGTGGAGTGGGGGCTCTGCACCCTATGGCACACGGTGCGCCGGGACGGGTGGCAGAGGGAGGTGGTGTCCCCCTCTGTCACGTCTTGGTCACTTCCTGACCTGGTCAGGCTGGGCCAAGTT